CTCCCCCCTTCCCCCCGCCGGGCCGTTGCTACCGCTGGCGGCCCCCCCGCCTCACCTCACGTCGTTGGGGTCCCGTCCCGTGAGCTTGCGGATATTCTCGTCCACGTGCTTGAGGCTCTCCTTGGCTTTCTCCAGCTGCTCCTGCAGCGCGCGCACCGCCACCGCCATCCCGCCCGCAGCGCGGCCTAGCCGGGGCCCAGCGCAAGGCACCGCTGGGTAATGGTTGGGAGGGGGGGTAGACCCCGCCCCCGCGCCGCGCGGCCCGCCTGGCGGCCCACCCCTCCGGCAACTGCGGGCCGGGACAGCACAGCCAATAGCCCCTCGGCGCTCCCCTCCGACCGCCAATAATCGGGCACGAGAGGAAAGGGCACGCCCCGCGGGAAAGGCTCGCTGAAGGCGCCCACCAATCACAGGGCCCAGAGGCAGACTGGCGTCCCGACCGACCAACTACTGGAAGCCTCTGCCTGCCAGCTCTACGAATCACCAAAGGGACCGCCGGAGTGACATCGCTTAGAGCTAACGAGAACTCATGCGTCAGTTTCCCGCGGCCCAATCAGAAAGCCATTTCGAGGACGTTTATCCCCACCCTCCTAGGACGCATCCTACTTTCCCACTCTCTATGGGGCCCACAAGCCAGCATGCCGGCGGCTCGAGTGGGGGCCAATCACCGCTCCACTTCAGAGGCCGCTGTGCCAGGCGAGCCAATAGGCGGGGACGTTACTGAGGGCTGGCGCGCAGGCCGGTGCCGGAGGGTGGCAGCGGCCTCAGGAGCGGCCCGGCGCTGCAGAGCCCGCGCCCGTCACCCGAAGCGTAGCCTGGGCTTGGCCAGCTGGCTTTCCGTTTAGTGGCTGTAAAACTCCGTTACCGGACGGTACTCCTGACGCCTGGGGTGCCGAGGTGTTTAACCGCACTCTTCCCTGCCGGGCAGCCGGTGCCGTTTCTGTGGAGAGGCTGGGGCGAGCCCGCAGGCGCGGAGCCCGTTGCCGCTTCGCAGTGGCAGAAAACGGAAGGCGAATAAACGAGTGACGTTCTGAAGGCAATTAAAAACCCACGCCCCCCCCCAATTGCAGTAGTAAGGGGGGTGCAGTTCCGCAGGGAAGAGAGGCGTTCGGCTCCCCTCCCCTTCACGGCACTCCCTCCTGCGGCCCCGGTTCGCGCCACCGCCCGACGCAGCGGGCTCCGGAAAGCGCTAACGTGAGAGGCCCTTTCCCGCCTCAGGAGAGGCTTGGGCCGGCGCCAGACCAGCCGCGGGAGGCCCTCCCCCGGCGGCGGCGGGCGGGAACGCCGAGCGGTTCCCCGACGGGGAGAGCCAGCCGGGCCGCCGCTGCTGGGCCGCTTCGCCTCGGTCGGCAGCATCAGAGGCTGACGGAGCCCGGCCGCCCCGGCCGCCCTCGGCCCAGCCGGAAGGGGCG